ATCCTGGGCCATCTGACCTCAGGAATTCGCATGATAAGGTGGGGCCAGGTTTCACAATGAACACACCCGAAACTCTGGCTGACTGGGACCCACACCCATTTTCACACCTTTGCTCAGGCGATTAGAGGATCATCAGGGGGTCCTTTTGTCCCTCTGTGGGGGGAAACTCCCACTAGGTTTATATCTGGGACTCTCCACCATTTGACCTTAGAACTGAAGAAGCTTCTCGGATGAGAGGTGAAACGTCTTCAAGCAACTTAAAGAAGTCCAGACGCTTTTCGTTGCAAGCTCCTTTGACTACGATGACCTGGATGACTGAGAACCTTCACAGACATGAACACTTATATATTTTTAAACCAGAACACACCTTATGTTGGTTTTTCTTCTGTGTATGTGCAAACTAGACTCACAAATGCATAGATAAACACACGCATGGAACAAACTTGATGTACGTCTTTGTTACCTATCATCAATCATTATTTTCGATTTGCCGATAAATGACAAAAGTTGTCATTTATGTGTGGCAGTAATCACCCCTCAATCAATAACTAACTTGGTCATCAGTCATTAATAATTTACTCACTTAATGAATTCGAGGTCTTTAATCTTTTTCTCCCTCATGCTGCAGGATGCAGAATGGACAGAGAACATTCAGGACTCCTGCATCAAGATTGCAGCAATTGACAACGGCCTGGCCTTCCCCTTTAAACACCCGGATGAATGGAGAGCCTGTATGTTTATCACTTATTTCACTTTTGCTCACCATCTCTGTCAGTGACAGTAATGGGAGGGCCCCTTTACATCTGCGGTTTGTGTGGCAAATCGCACATGTAAAGACTCATTAAAAAGACTCATTGCACTTGTAGGAAAGGGTATTGTCAACATCACCTTCTGAAAAACACAAAGTGAAAAGGCACTTTTATTTGAGTGTTTAAAGTCTCTTTCTGTGCCACAGTGATTGTTGGTTGACCCGGCTCTTTGTTCACGTGGGCTTTAGGAGATCTCTCTTGCAAAATGTGTCACAGCTAAAAGTCTTACTCTCATTACAAATCAGAACCAGGCACTGTGACTGCATGCAGTTTAGACTTGTGCTGTGTACTGAGTGATGCACAAATGCATTTATATTGCACCACAAGTTTCATCGTACCTGAAGACAAAACATTGAGATACTATGAAATTACTGGAGGGGACTGAATGTCTGAAAGGGGATTTATTTGCATACTTTTCGAGATGTATACTACTTTTAGACCCGCTGTCCAGATTAGACAATACAATTAGCTTATCTTAGTACCAAGGTTGTAAATAGGAGGAATTTACTAGCTTGGCTTTTTCCAGATGTAAAACTAATGTAAGAGCTTGTAAAATTGTACTAATCTGTGAACTTGATAAAGTGTTGCAATTACTAAGTTGTAGATGTGATGGTATGATTTTTACCTTTGGACACTGCCACAGACAGTTCCTTTAATTTTCTGATAATCTCATTGCTGTTGGATGATTTCAGTCCTTTTCTTCTTATGGTAGAATCTTGTCATCTGTGTTCTGGCAAGAATTAAAGAATTTTTTTACAATAAAAAAAATAAACTGTGAAGAAAAATTAGGCCACTAAACAATCCTACATGTGGCCTTATTATCAAATACAATGATAGTTATAGGTTCAGTGACAGTGAAAGGCTATACAGACGGAAACATTTGTGTGGTCCTCCTAACAGATCCATTCCACTGGGCATGGCTTCCTCAGGCCAAGGTACCCTTCTCCCAGGAGACCAGAGACCTTGTGCTGTCCCGCCTCTCTGACATGAACTTTGTTCAGGATCTCTGTGAGGACCTCTATGAGATGTTCAAGGTATGAGATGTTCTCATAAGCTTTCCTTTTTAATCTGTTTCTAGATTTTTGAATTCTTAATTGCAGGATATCAGCTAATATCAGTCGTTTTCTGTTTTCAGACTGATAAAGGCTTTGACAAAACCATGTTTGAGAGACAGATGTCCGTCATGAGAGGACAGGTGAGCTTTTGTAATTTATTTTTTATTTTTAATGAGTACTTTAATGTTCCTGTAGTCATTTTTTTAACTTTGTACTGTTCTGTCCTCTATTTTATTTTTTTCTGCCTGTTCCTTTTATATCCTACCTTGTTCTCCTTTCTCCTCTCATGGCCTACTTTCTGTCACTTTGTATGCTCCGTAACGTCTTCACCACACATTTTACCCTCATTTTGCATCTGCAGCCACTGTCCTGTCTCACCTTTCAGTCTTTCTATTCTTCTCTCAGCAAGCAGTTTAATAATAAAAACAGGTTATATTAGTGAACAATACTGTGCAGGATTTGAGTCATTCTCAATTCTTTGTATTTTTGTTCTCCTTCCCTATTGGAATTCTTTAATATGGTTTAAAGTGCTTAAAGTCATGTCCTTAAGAAAAAGGAATAAATCCAACAAAGGCATAACACAGGACCCAAGGACCTGAGAAAAACATGCGACCCGTCAGTTGATCCATCTACTGTTGTAAAGATGCCCTTCTTAAAGAAGGGAAAGAGGGTGAAAAGGCAGAGTTATGCCAAGTTACACAAGAACTGGACTTTTGTACAACAACCTGTTGTGAACAACGGGTCTTGTGAATTTTGAATGTAAATTTAACATTTTAAGTTCTAGTCAGTGTCGTTGGAGTGTTATAGAGGACATCAGTAGAGAGGTACAACAGTGAATGTGTGCAGCATCTGTTAAATGTGGTAGAGGCTCTGTCATAGTTTGGTGCTGAATTTCCGTCAGTGGTGTGGGGGATCTTGTCAAAATTGATGGAATTAAAAATGCAGAAAAGTACTGTGCAGTACCATCTGGAAAGCGCCTTGATTGGCAGTAGCTTATTTGCAGCATTACATTGATCTCAACCACACTGCCAGTGCAGTGAAAGCACACCTGGGTAGAAAACGCATAATAGAATGCTATCAGTTATGAATTGGTATCCTCAGAGCCTGGACCTCAATATTATTGAAGTAGTGTGAGACAGAGGCAGGAAACAAATGGATGAAAATCAGGTAACATCCAGATTAGAGCTTCAATGTTAAGAAGCCTGGAGAATTATTCCTGAAAACTACTAAAATAGAGCCTGTTTTGAAGAATAAAGGTGCTTGTACTAAATTTGCAAGCTTGTCAGAATTTCACCATTTCTGTGTTTGCTTCATGTGCTATTTCCACATGTTTGCACATTTCACTGATCACTGCACTTATTTCCCATTTTCCAAGCAAAATATAACAAATTGAGGGATGGCTCAAGACTTTGTCCTGTAGTGCAGTTGTTTTGTAATTTATTTATTTATTTTAACTTTTAGTTAATTATTTAACTTTTGTCAGATATTAAAATGACCTGGCTGTGGAGAAAGTAGCTAATAATAACTGCAGTTTTTATGTATTACTGTCCTTTATCAAAGCCATGTCACATGCATAATATGTAAGCACAGACGGTTTCATATTTCCAATAAGTTGTTTGCATATTCTCTAAAAACTTTGAGTTGCTTTTGCACAACTAATGCACCGTCTTTTCCCAGGTGTTGAACCTGACCCAGGCGTTGAAGGACGGGAAGAGCCCCCTCCAACTGGTTCAGATGCCTCGGGTGGTAGTGGAGCGCAGCCGCTCAGGTGGCCAAGGTCGTGTGGTCACTTTGGGGAATGCGTTTACACAAACCTTCCACTGCAAGCGGCCATTCTTTTCCTCCTGGTAGTCAGAGAAGGATGACGAGGGGAGCAGAGGAGAAGCATCTGCTTTTTGTCCACACATCACTCCTGAAGTAAAGAAAGTGAGAGAGAAGCTTACACTGGAAACTGTTCATATTTGTCCTCGGCAGGAAGGAAGTGAAGAAGGATACGGTGATGATGGAAAATAAGATGAGAAATATTTTGTGAGGAAATTGACTTGAGGCCAATTCCTCATTTGAGGAGAGTGCAGGGAACCGTGGGAGCTGGAGAGATTAGCATACCACCGTCTCCTAGAGAGACCTTGGGGCTGTTTGTGGTTACTATGGCAACTTGATTAGATAATCAGCTTTTTCACAGAGGTGGGCTTTGTTTATTGTTAGGAAGCTGAAAGTTGTTTTTGTTTTTTTCTTTTTTCAAACCACTCAAGCTACCTACTGAAGGTCTCTCGATAATGTAGTGCGTTGATGGCCAAAGAGCAAGCACCTAAATACCACAAGCTAACAGCACAGTGGTCCTGGTAGTGTTTGGGAATCTTAAAGAAGTTTCTCTTGGTCGACATTATTCCTCATCTGGGATAAAGTCCAAAATATTTGCTTTGCCTTATAGGATTACTTAGTGAAATATAGATGTGCACTTACACTGCTGGAAGTGTTTGACCAGTTCCACCCAACTAGGCCAAAACACACTTTACCCAGCTTTAAAACCACGTGTTAAACAAAGACAGTGTCTTCAATTCTCAGTGCTGCCAAAGTCTTTGTTGAAGGAATATTGAAGAGCTTCAAGACAAGAAAATTGTTGAAACTTGAATTTGTAGGAAGTGGAGGACTGCGAATAAACATTTCGCTTGAATGTAATCTGTTTACCGTTTATACACAGAATTTTGCTCCTAAACATTTCAGTACAAGAGAATTCTGTAAGAAATAGACTTCTCATTACTATGAATGTATTTGTTGTTTGACTTGTATTTAATTGCTGGTAAGCAGCTTTCTCTTGAATCTTCTGGCATTGGGGGGGTCGCAACTCTCCTTGCTTTTTATATTGTACTCTGTGAAGAGGAAAAACTAAATTGAGGAGACTTGCTTGATGCCATTCTGTTTTCTTATGTATGCATCTTGAAGTTTTTATTCCAACTCAGTGACTATATGGGGTAAGTTGTATATTTAACAGATTAAAAAAAAAACAATAAAATTTGGCAAAATCAAGTATTTTGTAGTTGTCACTAGTACATGTTCTAGTTTATAGGAAAAGGCTAATTTGAAGGCATAAAGAATGAAGTGCACCAAGCTGGAGTTCAGCAGTGACAAAGGTATGTTCAGCAGAGCTCTATCTGCAGGATGACAGTTCTCATGCACCTGATTGACTTTAAGATTAAAGATGTCAACAGTAATTCCCACCCAACCTGCTAAAGCCCAAAGATATCCAGGTAATAAGGATGAAAACAAAAACAACAGATCTTCACACGCGAAATATTGAAATCAGTGAATTTTTAGCTTGAGAAATTATTAAAAAGGTTATCAGCAATTAAAGGTTTTCTGAGAGAAACTTTGCCGATTGCAAAGGTACAAGATCTAAACCAGAGCCATGGAAAATGTTTAATAGTGTGAAAGTGACAAAGGGAGCGGTTTAAGATTACAAGCTAATGGGGCCTTTTGTAAAGCAAAAAACAAAAAGGTGCCCGGGTTCATCTGACCAATCGAGAATGTCAGTGATGTCATTCAAAGGAGAAACAGAATATTTCCTACAGGTGTGCCTTGAAATTGTGGCGTGTGTTCTTTGTATAGCAGAGGTTTTCAAACCAATATACACCAAGGTGGTGGTAGATGTGAAGCACAGCTGAATAAGGTCACCACACATTCTCGCTAAGAAGCGACACACATCTGGAGAGGAAATAAAATGTGAAAAGAGCTGTTGCAATACTACCAGGATGTCTCGTCATCTTAGCAGTAGTGTGACACGGAGCCTTGCACAACAGTGCCCTCATGTGGAAAGTTTTCTTTATAACCTCAGGTTAATGGGTTCAAGTCACCACAAAAAAAATAGGCAGTCTTCTAAAATAGAGTACCAGGTCTTTTAAAACACTATAATAACCAAACGTATGATTCTGTACTCTGCTTGTGTATATATAGCTGTGGTCAAAGGTTTACATACACTCTTCATGGGCATGAATGTCCTGGTAATTTGGGGCTTTTTTAAACTGCTCTTTATCCATGGTGGAATGATTGTACAGCATACACCTTTACTGACTTCAAAAGTCAAGTTTGAGTTTATTTTTATTTTTATCTGATCCATACTGGGTCAAATATATACACACAACCCACTAATATTTGGTTAAATATTCCTTAGCAAGTCGCTCTTGGTTGCAATCAACAAACTTCTGACATAATTTTGGCTGGATATTTGGTCGGTTTCCTGGAATAGACTTGGTGTTTAAGCATAATCCATACATTTTCAATTGGGTTTAAGTTGAAGCTTTGGTAGGGCCATTACAGAAGCTTGATGTTCACCTGTTTTATCCATTCTAAAACTAGTTTGATGTCTGTTCAGGGTTATTTTTCTGCTGGAACACTCAACTCTGTCCAAGTTCCATTTCTCTAAGTATTGATTTGAGGTGAAGCTGAAGAATTTGAAGAATTCCCCCCAGAGCATGATGCTGCCACCATCATGTTTGAGGGTTGGTACAGTGTGTTAGGTTTGTAAGCCCCACCTTTACCCCTACAAACATGCCTCTTGTCATAGTGACCAAACAGCCCAATCTTTGTTTCATCTGAACATAAAACTTTCCTCTAGAAGGCATTAGGCTCATGCCTGTGGTGGGAAAGTGAAAATATCAGTGATGACGTGTCGATTTTGAAGCAGGGGCTTTTTTTCTGGGATGGCAGTCTCTCAGTCCACGGGGATGTAAAATTTGCTTTACTGTGGACAGTGATGTTGGAGTTTCAACAGTTTCCAGTTCATGCTTTAACCTTGATGGTTCCTGGGCTGTTCCAGAACATCCTAACCAGTTTATTCTCATCCCAGGATGACAGTTTGGATCTTCTTCCACATCCTGGCAATGCGGTGACACGTCTCACTAACTCATACAGTAACTTGAACTAATGGTTTTTTAATCTGCAGTTTTTTCATAATGGCCCTGAAAAACCTTCCTAAGTTGTGTAAATCTACAATTCCGCTTCTTAAATTGTCACTGAATTTCTTGGGCTTTCCCGTTGTTCGAAGTATTGCTCAATCCAGTGAGTACTGGCAAAGGAAACTACCAAGTAATCAATCATGAACACTAATGAAAATTTAACAGGGCTTGCATTTGTCAAGTAAAAGTATAATGTAGAACCTTCAGCACTGCTTATTGAAATATTTAAATGTACGTCTATATCTGAGCCTGTATCTACACTTTGTGACTTTCAAAGAACTGGAGAAAATGCAAAATTAAAAAAAAAAAAAAAGTGCACCCAGTTCTTGGTTTTTTAAAGATAAAGACCGTTTCAAAGGAATCAGAAGCCCAAACTACCAGGACATTCATGCCCATGATGAGAGTATGTAAATTTCTGACCTGTACAAGCTTCCCTGCAGTTATGTCTGTTATGAGCTTTTGTTTCCACTAGATGGCGCGCAGTATCTGTTTTATTTTAGTTGCCTACCGTCGGAAGTGCACTTCAAGGCGATGAGTTTAGTCGTTCTCAAAAGTGATGTAAAGTCACAAGGCTGTAAAAATATGCAGACACAGACGGCTTGGCTTGTAGTCCTTTTAAGCCAGAAGAGCCACGGGAGATTGTACTTAGATTACTTTTTAGTTCTTAAAGAAGCAACCCCTATGTTTTCAGTGTAGTAATTTAATATGATTTTGTGAGGGCATATATATATATATATATATCTATATCATATTTATTTAAGCTTTCTGGCACTATTGACATGATGCAGCTCTTTATATTTGTGGCTGCGTTTCTCTTTGCGCACGAAATCACCGAAGCCGTTCGCTCTGATAAGTGCACCTCCCGGTGCGATGTGAGCTCGTGCCCGAGCCCCAGCTGTCCCGGTGGCTACGTTCCGGACAGATGTAACTGCTGCCTGGTGTGTTCCCCGCGTGAAGGAGACCCCTGCGGCCGCAAAGACGACCTGCCCTGCGGGGATGGATTGGAGTGCAAGTTATTCGCTGCGGGGAAGCGGCGAGGCTCCAAAGGGGTCTGTCGGTGTAAGATGGACCATGAAGTGTGTGGGAGCGACGGGAAAACGTATGGAAATGTGTGTAAGATGAGAGCAGCCAGTCGGAAAACTCTACTCAAGGGGAGACCCGCGGTCAGCCAAGCGCACAAAGGACCCTGTTCGCCTTTAGGAGCAGGTAGGGTTGCTTTAAGGTTGCCACAAAAAAGAATGTCATTGCTAGCAAAGGGTTTTCAACCAAGTATGGGAAATTAACTTTTTATTTTCAGTAATTTAATTTGTCCGATTACTTTTAAGTCCCCTGGGATGACGGGATTGTGTTACAAAAATGCTTTAGTTTCTCACATTTTTATGCATCTTTTTTGTTCAACCCACTAAATTAAAGCTGAAAGTGTGAGTTGTTTCAAAAGTTGACTCTGTCCAAATATTTATGGACCTAACTGTAGCTAGAGATAGATTGATTGCTGTCTGTATTAATGTTTTGGTGGGGTTTTCTTGTCAGTATAGGTCGTACCCTGATTCGTCTCAGCAGCCCTCGATACAAGTTCAACTTCATTGCTGATGTCGTGGAGAAAATAGCCCCTGCTGTCGTCCACATTGAGCTGTTCTTAAGGTTTGGATTGTGTATGTGTATAAAAATAACAAAAATTGTTTATTTATATTGTTTTATAGTATAATGGCTTGATTTGTCTGCTTTGATCTCAAGTAAGAAAAAACGAGTGCAACCTGTTTACTCAACAGGCTGTTTTTAGGGATATTGGGCCCAATCAAGTGCTGTTTGCCTGCTATTATAAGTAGCATAAAATTACATTCAAATTTAAGCTTAAAATTCAAATAAAATTCAAATCATGCATAAAATTAAGCATACAATTTAGTCCAAAGCACATCACATTAAGGCATAAAACTCTCCAAGCTGCCAAAATTACTTCTATATAGGGCAACCAGAATGTGAAATATATGCAAAAAAAGCACATTTTAATTATTGTTATTATTATTAATCATGTTCGCTTTAATAATTTTTCATTTGCCCTCTGTTTCCAGGCATCCTCTGATAGGTCGCCACATGCGGCTCTCCAGTGGCTCTGGGTTCATCGTGTCCCACTCAGGTGTGATTGTGACCAACGCTCATGTGGTAACCACAGCTGCCTTGGTGACAGGCAGGCCACAGCTGCGTGTTCAGCTCCACGACGGAGATGCATATGAAGCCGTGGTGAAAGACATAGACAGGAAGGCAGACATTGCTACAATCAAGGTCAATCCACAGGTAAGGGCACAAGCCCTGACATGCTATCATCATAAGCTTCTCTACCCTCTTCTCCTTTTCAAATATAAACACATGAATCTTTAGATTTTTTTACATCCATAAATCTTAAATGAGCCCACATAAACCACACAGCCCACATCCTGACACATTTCTTTGTCAACATCTGACAGTTTTCTGCTAGACATTAATAAGACTTTCATAAACACTAGCTCCGTGATTCACAGACAGAGCGCTGATGTGTGTAATCTCACACCCCTGTCTGAAATACCTGGAGAGTTTTGTAAGCTTTCAACTATTCCTCTTCCTCTAAATGTCTTTTCTTCTTTTCATCTGTGTTGCTCTGACATACTCGCGTTTTCGCTTGTGTGCTGGTATTTTTTGAGTGGTTTTTTTTTTGTGCTTGTTGTAGCAGAAGAAACTTCGCGTGCTGTCTCTGGGCAGTTCGGCTGATCTGAGGCCAGGAGAGTTTGTGGTTGCCATTGGCAGCCCTTTCGCCCTGCAGAACACTGTCACCACCGGCATCGTCAGCACTGCACAAAGAGATGGCAAAGAGCTGGGCATAAAGGACTCAGACATGGACTACATCCAAACTGATGCTATTATTAACGTGAAACATTTTTAAATATCTGCATCTATACACATTGATTGCATTATTGAACTACATAATTGTCTTTTAATATTCCCATATGTGTAAGAATTACTGTTGTGCTTGTTTCTATTTTATATCTTCCATACTTGTGTCAAGTACGGCAATTCGGGAGGACCTCTTGTTAACTTGGTAAGTGGTGTTCTCTAAGGTACAGTAGATGATCCATTTGATTTTGGAGTGTTTTCAGTTTGGCCTCAAACAAAGAACGGAGTTTTCACTAACGCAGCATAAACATAAACATAAAAAATGTGACAATAAAAGTGATTTGATTTGATTTGATTTGAACAGTTATGAGTCACCAAATTGTCATATGAGCCTGAATATCACAAACGTATTATTCCCCAAAGCACAGAGGGAGCTTAAGTGTGATATGCACTACAGACATTATACCTGATTTTGTTGTATGTATTGCAGCACATTTAAAGAAACTATTAACTGTCACAAATAGCTTTGTAGATGTGTGCATAACAAGGCACAGAATGCAAACAAAATGTGAGCTTTACCAGTTCAAGAAGCACAAAGTTAAGAGTCACGAAAACCCAAAGAATCTAGAAAGAAGAACAAAGAACCAGGTTAATTCCAAAGAAAATAAACTGGACAGCATGAAAGGGAAGTGGAGGAGCACACACAGGAAATTCCAAAGATCAACAGTAAAAAGGGACGACAGGATTATAATTACGGAAAAATTATTATTGATGAAAACAGTAGGGAGAGGAGCACAGGAAGCAAAACTGACGCAAGACACGAAAGAAAGCAAACCTTCAAAGTAAAACACTAACAATTAACAAACGAACACACATGGAAACTCTTGCTAATATCAAAACACAAGATATCATAAAAAAATAAAACTCACGCTCTACGAGAACAAGAAATGAAAACAGGAAATCCAGATGTTCAACAAACACAAAATCAGAATCAAAACACTTTATTAATCCCTAAGAAAATTATGTGGTCACCGTTGCTCCAAAATAACAAAAAGAGTAACTATCTAAACTAAGTGAAATAATACAGTGTATTGCAAGGCTGAAAAATATAGCAAAAGAGCACTAATAAATAGAAACGGCTCTAATCATAAATATAATTCAGTATATTACACATATTAAATATATATGGTTGGAAAAAAAAATTGAAACTTCAACCATTAGAAAAATAAAACATGACTAAGACTCAAAAATACTAAGAAACCAGAATGCAGAACCAAAGCACAAAAACCTGCGATATGATACAGTCTTTGCTTGTTTTATAAACCCTCTTGTGTCCCATGAACTATGAACTCAAAATGGCTCAAAATTGATTTACAGATTTGTTCAAGCATATTTTCTTGTGGCCAGTGATTAAAATATTACAGCCACCAAATAATACCACTATTTCTGCTTTTTCTAGCTATAACGGCTATAGCTGTTACTCCAATTCTGGAGTTCTACTAATATTAATTATAAAAAAGCTCAAAGTAGAAACGTGCAGTTTATTTTCATTGACTGCAGTAACACTGGGACACAATCGTGACACATCATGTGTCACATGCTTTAAAGTGTTCTGTGTAATGACACATTTATAACGCCATAAACGAGTGCACGTTTAAAAGGGCGCACGCATTGTGTTTTTATCAATATATCATAGCAACTGTAGTTGTGCCATATGCTCGGCTCTACATACCAACTGATGCAGTTTTTTTTTTCTGGAAATCTTGACATATTTTTCTCAGTCCTTACTGGCTGATATTTATGTCAGCATCAAGTCCTTTTTGGCAGCCATCATGTTGTGTTTGTCTTTCAACATGTGTTTGTGTTTCCTTCAGGATGGCGAGGTGATTGGAATCAACACTCTTAAAGTGACAGCAGGAATTTCCTTCGCTATACCGGCAGACCGCATCAGCCGCTTTCTCTCAGAGTCACAGATTAAACACAAGAAAGATGGTGACTTTTTTTTGTGAAGTTTATCATCTTATTATCTAAAATATCTAATATCTTTAAATGACTATTTTCCCCCAGTATATGTCTCTAATTTTCATTACCTACTACTCTGACTGGCTTTTGTTGTGACAGAAAAGAGACAGCAGAAAAGAAAAATGGACAAACCACAGTCTGATGCAGGTGAGAGACAAGACGTTTTTGTGCAAATATTATAACTATTTTCATATATGGCAAAACATGCAGTTAAGAGTGTAGACTCAAAGTGAATAGATCTTTAATAACAAATGAAATCCTCAGGATTTGGACTATAATTTTAATGGCTACATTTATATTTTAATATGTGTTTAATAAAATAGTTATTAACTGTCTCCTCAGCTCATCTTTCCCCGTCAGCCCAACTTAACCTTTGCATGAGGCTGTGTTTAAATTATGGTTATATTGTTGTGCTTTCAGACGCGTCCCTAGTTAAGAGACATTTTTTAGGCATCTGGATGGTCACCATCACCAAAGCGTAAGTTGTTACAAAGTCACACACATATTAGACTGTAAGGAGAAAATAAATTTTGCACTAATGTTCTTTAATACACTTCCTACTACAGATAAAGGTGGCATACCCAAATAATACTAAGAGCAACATTTGTTTTGTGAATAAATCGTTTAACAAACAAACCGACAAATTCTGTGTTATTCAGTGGGAAACATAAGTTGGCTTCAGGAGCTGGTATTGCTGCTTGTCTACTTTTTCTGTAGCCAAACAACTTTACCTTTGATTTGCCAGCAGGAGCTGTTTCATAGAAAATCAAATGTTTGCATGTCTGAGTATGTCCAAAAAGGGAATTAGTTTTATGTTAGTTTCATTATCATTTCAATTTTTTACATAATTGAAATGATAATGTAAAAATGTGTTAATAGCATTAATATTGTGTCCTACATGTGCCACAGTCTTGTAGAAGAGTTGCGACTTCATAACCCAGACTTCCCCGACATCAGTAGTGGAGTTTTGGTGCGGCAGGTTATACCTAACACTCCAGCAGAAAAGTATGCTCACACACACCTGCTAAAAGTACACACACACACACACACACACACACACACACACACACACACATTTCAAATGATATCATCCTGTTTCATACTTCCAGAAAGTGATTGCAGATTTATGGACAATGATGTCATTATAAGTCTGAATCTTCTTTTTCTCTTTCTGGCACGCTTGTAGTAAACGGTTGACTCTTGCCCTTCTTTTCTTTTCCATGTCTTAGAGGAGGGATTAGGGAAGGTGACGTTATAGTGAAGTTGAATGCAAAGCCAGTCAGGACCACTGAAGACATCCATGAGGTGTTGCAGAGCGACCAGCCACTCCTACTTGAGATTCGCAGAGGGAACGATGACTTACTCTTCAATATCCACCCACAGCTTTTGGTACATTGAAAACTGGGAGAATTGATATCTTTTAGTTGTGAAGAGGCAGGACTCAATATGTCCAGTACTGATTTCTTATTAAAACAAGAGAACGGAAAAGAGCAGTTCCTTTCCCAACTAGCCTGATGATGTATGCTTTGGTAGAGTTTGAAATACTGTAGTTTAACACAGACCTCAAAATACAGCTCAGTAGAATCCATTGCACTGTATATTTAAGGCGCTTTAGAATAAAAGCTTAGAAGAAGGATCTGTGCAGTTGTGTGTTTTTCTGTCTAGTCTGTTCAGCAGCTGCTTTCCAGAAGGCAGCTTCCATTCCTTTGTTTGTGTCTTCTCATCCCTCCTCCATCCTCTCTCTTGGAAAGACTTTCTCCTAATTTAAACAAACCTAAGTCAACACCTCCACATACGGAACACAGGCACTATGAGTAAAATCCTGTTACAGGGAACAGCTGGTTGTATTCTTTCCTGTTTTGGAAATGAAAATCTTCAGTCATAACATAACCTGAATCTTAAAGTCGCACACCCTGAAGTAGCATGAAAGTACTCATGCAAAAGCCAAATTAAATCAAGATGGCAGAAAAATATCTTTCAGTAGCTTGACATTTTGGACATACTACATATATGCTCATACTTTTGAATAGTGTTGTTTTGGTTTATTTATCATTCTAAAAGCCTTCCTCCATGCTGAAATGACCTCAGAAATGACCTTGTAACCCACTTGAACTCCCTGTAAGTCCACACATCATAAACTGAGCCCAGACAGAAAACCCTTCCTGTTTATTTAAACATAGACTCTGTCTGGTTACTGTTGGCTGGAACAAGCAGAGGCCAAGGAAGCAAAGACAAACTGGAAGAACAAAAAGAAAAGACAGGCTGCTGGGCTCACAAACAGGAAAAACAGGGAGGAAATGTAGCTAATAAGTGACTCCTGCTGTGAACAAATAACTACCATTTCAGCCGGTCCTCGCAGACTGATTTTAATATGGTTCTCTGTGCTGCACTCAGTGTGTGACTTGATGGAGCAGTTGTTGGAGTGTGGGTGGTGTTTTCTAGTCTTGCCAAGACAGATTGTTATAGCTGAGCGCCAGACTACTTCAGTAAGGCAGACAGAGGACACAGCTGTGTCCACACTAAAACAATATATCTAAGCCCACAGTAAATATAAACTTTCACTCAACAACAAAGGCCATGTGTTTTTACAGTAAAGCCAGAGTTTTACAGATATCTCTGCATGCATCTAAAGCACAACATATACTCTTCTGTACACTGGTTGTACTTTAGATTAGTGCATTCCCTATGCAACCCAGTCAATGTGTTGCCATCTAGAGGCCAAATATAGTTTAGTTTGAAATAAACACAATTTATGATTCCCAAAGAGTCCACTAGATGGCAGGTGGAGAATAAAGAATTTCCTCCCAACGTGGCAATTGCTCAAACGCTCATCTTAAAGGACTGCTGCACTATAGAAGTCTATATATAGCTCTGGTTTCTGATTGCATCCTTTTGCACTTAAAGCAGAAGAGACAGTTAAACATTTCAACAGCATGTAAGACTGTCAGAGAGACAATCGTGCAGGTGGAACTACACAGATGGAACTATTTTATTTATTGATTTTTTTATATATAAGGTTTTCATAATATACAACCTGGATATCTCTAGGTGTATATTACCTCTCGCCCTGTGACACTTGGGATAGGCTAGGGATACGAAAATAAGAAAATGGAAGGATAGATGGATTCCAAGTGTGAATCATAGTGCTAAAAACAATATAGGGATAATGTCTCATTTGCTATAAACAAAAAGAATTCTTTATTAACTCTGAGACATCACATGGGTGTAAAACATCCCATTTTTCCTCTATCCAATCCAAAGATTGTAATTTTAAGATGTGGAAAAAATAGTTGATGTTGAAGATTTTTAAACACAACACTTTTGCATTATTCCAGATTTTGATATTCTTTATAACACCTTGTATCTTAAACGTCAAACTTTCATGTATTGATCTGTACTGTTGCTGTATCTTTTCACTTTTATTTGTTGGTAAATAATTTCTCAACCACTTTCTTAATAAGATCAATTGTACACAGATGGAACTATTTTATTTATTGATTTTTTTTTTTATATATATAAGGTTTTCATAATATACAACCTGGATATCTCTAGGTTGTATGTTACCTCTCGCCCTGTGACACATTTAAGAAAATGGAAGTTGTTGGGATTAAATAATTTACAGTGCCTCAGTAATGCTATGCTTTTTTTATTAATAAGTGTTATAAAGTTATATAGTGTAGTATTAAGTGGACACAGCCCTGAAAAATAAAGGCATGAGACCATGTGTCCTTAGGGAGTAGAAAGCTGTAGACTGTCGCTCACGCTTGCTTGGGAAAATGTAGATAAGAGCGGACCATCTCTAGTGGAAAGTTACTGAGACACTGTTGTTTAGACTAGAATGAGCTTCTGTAATAAAACTGTTAGGGCCACACCACCATTTTGAGATCCGCGGCAACGTGTCATGAAGGACGCATGTCCCTTCTAGAAGTAATAAAGTGTTAAATGGTCTGCTGAGCAGTGTTTTGTCTTCCATCGGATGCCTCTGAGGAATCAAAAGAACTCGGTGAAGTGTTGATATTTACAAAGGATAGATGGATTTCCATATTTGCGCTTTTGTCTGCGGTCTTCTGTTTTCTATGACTCAGCCGTCATCAGCATTTGAATCACAGTGTGATGTAATGTTACCAAGGTGCTGTCAATCTAATCTGATATCTTGGTGTTGAAGTGAAATAAATAACAACCTCTCTTTTTTTTCCAGCCATCTCACTGCTGCACATTTAACACGGGATATTTCACATCTTGGAGAAATTCTTAAATTTTCAAGGACTTTTTCAGGGACCTTCATCCTTGCCTCTTTTACTCTCTTTCCGCTCATTCCACACCAGGGTTTCATTCAAAGCCACCCACACTTTAGCTCCCATCTGTCAGTGTTCAGTTTATGGTAAGAGTCCAGGGTAAAGGCCCAGAGACAGAGACCTTAGACGTCCAGGAGAGGCAGCCAGGGGGAAAAATGGACCGTCAGCTCAATTACATGTTCACAGAAAAATGGTGATGATGCTTATGATGCTTTGTGAGTTAAGGGCTAACAGATATTCATATTAGGCTTTAATCATAACGTACATTATAATGTCAAACTGTGAGTCATCAGTGACCTCAGAACCTGATGGCATTTTGAGTCCCATCAGCAGCACTTAATGGAAGCTGAGCAACATCATCTCCTCAATGCTTGAAAACACACACAGGACCTTTATGTGCCACTCGGAATATCCAGGGATGAATTTATCTGTTCGTAGGGAATGTAACTGTTTAATTAATGATCTAATAAAAAGAAAAGAAAACCCTTCTGATTTTGGATTTGTGCATATCTGTGGGTTTTCGTCCAATCGAGGAAGTGAACTGGAGACGTCCGTAACAGTAAACACTTGAAAGTACTAGGTTTGACCTGTGTTACTGGCAACCTCTAGCAAGAGACTGTGTTTATAGTAAAATTTTATATTTAGAGGAAGTTTAAGGGTCAAGACCACAGATTGGAGCATTTGGCATAGACAGCTTGCACTGGCTTAAAAAAAAGAAACCCTGTTAAACTGTGGTGTTACAGAAGTACAGGCCCTAACTACACCCATCTGTCTCAAATCCTACTCTCTATGACTCATGGCTTACTGATCACTACTAACGTGGGCAATTTACTCTAAAAAGACAAAAAGACAAAGCTACCAGACTTTTACAGAGTGAATCTGTTAGTCTTTCAACCTACCTCCCACACAGGCACACAAACATCCTCAGCATGGATGATAACACACATTTTTCACACAGTGATGCTCCACAACTGGACAATTAGTGTTAGAAAAAAGTTAAATACACCCATGTGCTGTTGTGTTGAGCGTTTTGCTGAAAATAGACTTCTTGTTTCCTCTTCTGCAAACATATTAAGTTGGTTTATCACACAGTGAAGTGCAAAGCTATACTTGGAATGACGTGCACTTCAGGACACTTCAGATTATATTTCCCAGAGGTCGGTTTTCTAAAATTTAACGAGAGCTTAAATTCCAAGCATTCCTCTCAAAGTATGGCCTGTTTTTATTGAAATCTTTTTTAGAAATAGTCCACAGTCACTTCAGAGTTGGCTTTTTCAGAGTGACAGGAGACGAGTTCTCACTTGTTTTTCTCTTTGTCTTGCTACACATACGTCCTATCAGCCCATTTTAACAGTGGTTCCACGTGGGTTTAGTAAATGACAGATGCGCTGCTTTTGATTATACTAAAGGGGAAAGAGTGAATACACATTTACTTTCATTATTTCATGCATTTAACATATGCACATATGCCAGAGCTGCTGCTGCCCTCCCTGTCTAACTCTTCTTTCTTTGACTTCTAGTTTGTTTTTCAGAAGAAAAATTAGTCACCAGTGTCTATTTTTCAGATGCCTAGCCCTTAGGCACTAACTGCAGCGCTTATAAAACACTTGGAAACTGTGTAGGAGACACGGTGCCCTTTTCTGGAAGACCTCTCATTTAATATTTCTGGTTGTGAATGTGCTTGGCATTCCTACTGTTTGATATTGCAGTATTTATAAATATTCACTAAGCTTAAAACTTAAGCAAGAATTGCTTTAATATCAGACACTCATGATAGCGGACCTGATATCGTCTGTATTTTGAACTCCCACTATCAACATTTCAAGTTATCAACAGCTCCCAAAACTGGTATGTGAAAGGTTAGCTTGTAGTAAGGAGTTACATATGGACAGTAAACTAACCAAGTATGCAGCATCTTATCAGCTCTATAACATTTTATGGTCTTTCCTGCTCATTCTTCTGGTTTTTCAGACTGCAGCCACTATTTTTAGTTTGCTTTATCCTCTGTCATCAGTTACCCACACATGTTCAGTGCTGAGAAGGTCACTTTTAAACTGTATTCAACTACAGATTACAGAATGCATTCTGATTCATTCTGTTGAGTTACTCAATGAGAGTAATGTACTCTGAATACTTTGGATTACTTAATATATTATCAAGCTTTTTACAACTACATGAATGTACTATTGCTGTATGTGTGTGATTTATTACTATTACTCAAGGCTACTCGCCATACCACTACCAACTAGATTTTTAAATCTTAATATAAAATGAGTAACAGTAGGGTGAACATAAGGTAAGGCTGCACTGTTTACAGTGATCTTGTATAGTAAACTATTTCTGTATCAGTAATATGTTTCTTTCTGTCTGCTTTCAGGACTGCACATGATTATTTGCAGCTAGCAGGTTGTTAATGCTATCCATCAAGTCTAACAGTTTGCACATATATGAACTAACCTCAGCTAACGCCAGCTAACAATGTTAGCTCGGTGCCGAGTGGCCTTCAGTAATGGTAATAAATCACAAATCGTACACCGAAGATACTGTGTGAAGTGGCACATAAACCAGGTAGCCACAACAACTAAAACAAGATAGTTGCAGCAGGCTAATATTAGGTTTTTTGTTTGTTTTAAAAAAAGAATTTACTTCCAGATGTTGGAGGTGGAGTCTTTTGACGCTGAGAGCAGATTGGTTGCTGGCAAACAGAGTTTGCGTTGCACTGTCAGATTTCTCCCATCCCTTTCTTCTTTAAATATTTATTTATTCATTTATTTAATTATTTATTTAGTTTCACACATGGTACAGCAGTAATTCATTTCCTATACACAACCTTCCTTTCAATTAAAGTATAAAGTGGTGTCGGAATTTCCAAGTAGGAAATGCATTCCTGCCCGTGCATTGCTGGTTTTGATGTCCTGGCTCCGGGTCCATTGTGTAACTGACACTACCAACATTAACAGGACACTAACATTAGAGCTTCTCATTGCATGTTTTATTTGGGTTTCCACCAGTGTGGAATTACCAAAATTAGAGAGGGGATAGCCTAACATATGAAACAGGAAAACGCTACCGTGTAATCTATTAAATTTCAACAAAGTAACTGTATTCTAATTATCACCTATTTAACCAGTAGCTGTAACAGAATACAGTTACTCATATTTTGTATTTTAAATACATAACACCGGTACATGTACAGTAAATGCAGACTGTGTTGGTAGTTGCTTGATTTTATAAACATGTAACAATGGGACTGAAAACACCTGACAAAGAGGTGTGACTCAGTGCCTTTTTCCATGTAGCGTTCAGGTTTAGGTGATAATTAATATTAAAACCAACACTTATAACATTGTTACACTGTTTTCACTTTATAATTTGCTGTTAAAGAAAGAAAAATAACATAGACACTTTAGTGTTGCCATTACTGTGAAGCTGCCTCTTTTATAATATCTATATGTCCACACATGAATGTGTTAAAAGCTACACGTTGTGCTTTTTCTGCTTCATTTTCATGCTATGCTAGGCTAACCCGCTTTCTGGGTGTGGCTGAATATTTGTGACTACGATGTGTTTTTTTCTACAATGTTGAATTGTCTCTTTAAGGCTACTACAAGTTACAATTTCACTTCATGCTTGTAAGAAAAAATATTTTAAAAGAAATATAGAAGGAAATATTTGCCTATGTTTAATAGACTTTCCTCACAAACAGACTGCCGCACACACAAACACTGAGTTACGCTCATTTGTAACCCAACCATACTATTACTTGACTTTGTCTCATTGTACCCTAATTGAAACCAAAAATTCATCCTAAAATCAAAGGAATTTGTCCCAGTATGAAGGCTGGTCTCCAAAATGTGACCGTGTAGCACACTGAGGTCCCCACAACATAAGCAATACAAGTACGCATAAACAAAACAGCCACAGTAAAGTGAGCGTTTTGTCAGCACTCCAGTGAGAGCTAAATCCTCTGAGCTCTTTTTATGTCTCTCAACTCCTGTTTTCTGGCAGACTGCTGACTCATGCATCTCCCCCTCTCGTTCTCTTTTTGTGTGTTTATCTGTCTTTCTTTGTTTCTTTGTAAATCTAGTCGGTGGACTTTTCCCTTGTCTCCTCTTGCACAAGCATTTCTCTGGATTTTGAATAATTCAGCTACATTTCCACATCTTGCATCCTCTGTGTGGGTGTGAGTGTGCGCTTTCATACTGGCAATATATGTGGTGGTTAATGCCATGTGGTATCTTTATGTGTGTAATCAGTCGTTGTGTTCCTGCGTCATGCTGTAGCTGGATAGTTGGTTAAATCGCTTAATGAGAGTAATGCCTGCTGT